GAGCCTTCTATTTATTTCTGCCTTGCTCACTGACATTCCACACTGGGGTAACAGAATATTCACTTGCCAAATGAATGGCTACCATGCTAGTCTCCAGGTGAGCTTCCCCTTCAAGTTTTGACCAAAGGTCATATATAAAGCCCTTCCCTTATCAGGATATCAGGATATTTGGCACTTTAAGCAGACAGAAAGTAAATACAGACAGGAAAAAAAACATAACAACAACCTGATTGTTACGGGAGAGGTTCCTGATCCTATCTCAGCTGCTTCCAGGGCTCTGAGGCCTTGCCTCTTCTAGGTCTTGTCTCCCAATCTATCAATCATGCAGGACAGAAGGGCCCAGACAGCATCAGAGCACCAGGCCTGGAGCCCTTAACTCACATCCCTGCACACAAACATCATACGACTTCCCACCAGAGGCCCAAAAGCTTTCCAGTGCTGCTGCCCCCCGGCATCTCCCACTCAGTCCCTGAGTCTGCTCTGAGACTTGCCTCTTCCCCAGTTATTGAATGACTGTCCTTTAGAAAAGGCAGTTGCTCTCCCTAACACCGCTCTACCACCACACAAACTCTGTTGGGTACTAGTCAACTATGCAGTAGGTCCAGAAGGTATTTTACCCACATGATAGCACGATAGCAAGAAAGATATACACACACACACTCACACCTATCAAGAACAAGGAGTGAGAATAAGCATCTGAGTTGATGCATCACATGCCCCCCAGATTGGAAGAAACAGTCTCTAGGTTTGGGTCTGTTCATCTATTTCTATCACTCCTGGTTGCCACTCCTGGATAATGCTGGGTGCAATTAGGAACCCAATGAATAAATGCTGTATTAAAGAATGAATAAATAAATTCAGTGATTTCCCCCATCTCTTAAAGTCTGAACTGAAAGACTAATTCAGTACGCTGTTGCACCTCTAATAAATTCTGATTTTTAAGGACACGATCATCAATAAAGCCTCCACTGGTCAAGCTCCAGCATTAAATTCTCTCTGTTCTTTTTTTGACATAAACACTTAGATATGCCAACCTGGAGCAATAATCAACTAAATGACAAACCACTGGAGACAGGATCGCCCCAGGGCAAGAGCAATCCCTTCAAAACTACACATAGAGTCACTGAGGCAAAATGAGGTCCCTATACTCAAAATAAGAGAAATTGCCATGTTTAGCACGAGCTAATATTAGGAACCTACTATGTACTGGAAATACAATAAGCACATCATTTAGATTATTTAATCCCTAGAACAACCCCAGAAGTTGGGAATTATAATTCTCATTTTGTAGATTTTTTTTTCAAATATTTATTTATTTTTGATAAAGAGAGAGAGCATGAGGGGCACGTGGGTGGCTCAGTCAGTTAAGCATCAGGCTTCAGCTCAGGTCATGATCTTGTGGTTTGCTGGTTCAAGCCCTGCAACAGGCTCTGTGCTGATAGCTAGCTCAGAGCCTGGAGCCTGTCTTCGGATTCTGTGTCTCCCTTTCTTTCTGTCCCTCTCCTGCTCACGCTGTCTCTCTCTCTCTCAAAAATAAATCAAACATTAAAAAATTAAAAAGAGAGAGAGAAAGAGAGAAATTGAGAGTGCACAAGTAGGGGAGGGGCAGAGAGAGAATCCCAAGCAGGATTCTGCCCACACTGTCAGTGCAGAGCCCGACATGGGGCTCAGACTCAAGAACCATGAGATCGTGACCTGAGCTGAAGCTGGATGTTTAACCAACTGAGCCACCCAGGCGCCCCTCATCTTGTGGATTTTAAAAATAAGACTTGAAGTGTTTTTGCCCATGGTCACTTGTTCAAGAAGTTAAGAGCATAAACTTTGGAGCCACGCTGGCTCAGTTTAATTTCTGACCTGCCTTATTCTAGATGGGTGTGTTAGTACATTTGGGCGGCCATAACAAAATGCCACAGGCTGGGTAGCTTTTGAACAACAGAAATTTACTTCTCATGGTTCTGGAGGCTGGGAGCCTGACACAGGGTGCCCGCATGCTAAGGTGAGGGTTGCACACACACCTCACTGTGTGGAGGGGCTAAGGAAGCTCTGTGGGGTCTCTCCTATAAGAGCATCAATCCTACTCACGAGGGCAGAGCCCTCGAGACCCATGCACTTCCTGAAGGTCCCACATCCTAATATCATCACCTGTAGGGGTTCAGATTTGAACCTGGGGGGTACAACAAATATTCAGACCACAACACTGGGCAAACAGAGCTTAACACATCTCTGCCTCAGTGTCCTCACCTACAAAAGGGAACCAATAATGACACCAGTTGCTAAATTATCCCTAGGACCCCCTCATCTCCAAACCCATCTTTCTGTACCCTGGTTTGTGATCTAGGCCTGGGACTCTGAGAAACACACTCCTGCCAAGTCAGCTGGCTTCTTGTTAGTTCTGCCAGTGGGAATCACTGGAGGGGATGCAGAGGGAGAGAAGCGCGAAGGAACTTGCTCCCTCAGCTGTGCTTCCTCCGGGCCTCACCCCTGCAGCATTACCCTCTGTGCTCGCTGCAGAGCCACTGAATCCAGTCAGCCTGCACCTGCAGACTCTGCCTCACAGCATGCTGGCCAGCACCCTCTCCTCAGAGGTCTGACCTTCAATTCTGTGGGGCCTTTCCTCTAAGGATCTAAGAAGTTTTCATAATCTCTTCTCATTCCCTCAGCCCTGGGGGTGATAACCTGCTTCTTAGAATTGCTCCTCACCCCCATCCCTATAGGCTTCTTTGGTTTAATTTATTTAAACTTTTTATTTTAATGTTTTATTTATTTCTAGGAGAGAGAGAGAGAGACAGCGTGAGCAGGGGAGGGTCAGAGAGAGAGGGAGTCACAGACTCTGAAACAGGCTCCAGGCTCTGAGCTGGCAGTCAGCACAGAGCCCGACGTGGGGCTCGAACCCACAAACCGCGATATCATGACCTAAGTGAAAGTCGGACGCTCAACCGACTAAGCCACCCAGGTGCCCCTATTTAAACTTTTTTTTAATTAACTTTTTTTTTTTTTTTTTTTCTTTTGAGACAGAGACAGAGCACGAGCTGGGGAGGGGCAGAGACGGAGGGAGACACAGAATGTGAAGCAGGCTCCAGGCTCTGAGCTGTCAGCACAGAGCCCGATGTGGGGCTCGAACCCATGGGCGGCGAGATCATGACCTGAGCCGAAGTCAGACGCTTACCGACTGAGCCACCCAGACACGCCTATTTAAACTTTTTTAAATGTTTATTTACTTTTGAGAGAGAGAGAGGGAGCAAGCAGGGGTGGGGCAGAGAGAGAGGGAGACATAGAATCCAAAGTAGGCTCCAGGCTCTGTTCTGTCAGCACAGAGCCCGACGCAGGGCTGGAACCCACGAACTGTGAGATCATGCCTTGAACCAAAGTCAGAAGTTTAACTGACTGAGCCACTCAGGTGCCCCTTTTTTAATTTATTTAAATTCAAGTCAGTTAACATATCATGTAGTAATGGTTTCAAGAGTAGAACCCAGTGATTCATCCCCTACATATACTACCCAGTGCTCATCACAAGTGCCCTCCTTAATGTTCATCACCCATTTGCCCTATCCCCTCACCCATCTCCCCTTCCAGCAACCCTCAGTCTGTTCTCTGTATTTAAGAGTCTCTTATGGTTTGCCTCCCTCTCTGTTTTTCTTCTTATTTTTCTTTCCTTCCCCTAAGTTTTTTACTCCTTCTATTACCTGGTTAACAACTTTACAACCAGTGAACAGTTCTTCATATTAAATTTTCTCTGTTCAAATTATTGGTACAATTTTATTCTGCAAACAGACCCTGGGGATACAAGAATGCCTATGTCAGAGGGCTTTAGAGAGTATTAAATAAGATGATTGCTGTGAAGTGCTCCTAACTGTACCCGGAGCACAGTGTTTGCTCTATCAGTGTGAGCTGTTATTAGCTGGTAAGTGTTGAGCCTCGGCTGGAACCCATGTCTGCCTATCTTCTTCCCAAGCAACATGATGTTCTGCTAATAAAAACAGTTACGATGTACTTAGGCACTGAATTTAGTGCTTTCACAGATGTTACCTCTTTTAATCTCCTTAAGCACCTCTGAAATGCTTTGCATTCTTGAAGTGTTTTTTCTCTAACAATTGACATCAAGAAAGGTATTCTGAGTTAGTTCCTCTATTATCCTAAAAGGTTAGGCAATTACTCCAACAGGTTCAAACATCAACATTAGAATAATAATTTTTTAACATGGACTTCTCCAAATTCTAATAAATCTGTTGATATCATTGCCCTATGTATCACTAGGATTTAACATAATTTAAATATATGTAATGTGTGTGTCTATCTGAGGATTAAGATTTTGGAATTTCAAATTATCTATTGTTTTGATCTAAAGTATCAACGGAATAATAACAGGATTTAAAAATTAAGTGCCTATTTTGTGCTAGGCACTAGGATATAAGTGTTTTCGCATATGCTCTCATTTTATCCTTAAAATATACTACACTACTAGGTACAATCATCTTCTTTGTACAAATATGTCCAAGGTCACACATAGCTAGTAAAGTAACAGAAACAGGGATTGAAATCAATTCTTTCTAATTCACAACTCATGTTTTAGCCAATCCACCACAGGTCATAGGTGAGGGTCATTCTCCATAGCAGATCCTGAGAGAATAAAGTTAGGTGGACTCATGAACGGAGACAGAAACAAATTCCTTCACTTTGAAGGGCTTAAGAAATAAGAGAACAGAATCTGGCATATTATCTTCTGACCTTGCTTTCAGAATTGCTTGTAAGCCATAAGAAATTCTCAGCTTCTGTCACTGGGTTTTGAGAATATCTCTCATTCCATTTCATTTCAAGGATTTCTTCTCCCATTTCAGTTTTGCTATGGTAGAAGCAAAGTAAACAAAGATCCCCAAATACCTTGTTTTGGGGAGTATCCTTACTTTCCAAAAAGAAATCATTGTCCTTGGGGAAAAAAAATAAAAGCATCCACTAAAATAATTATTTTTTAAAGGAACAATGCAGAGGGGAAGAAGACATACCTTTTGCTTCGTGCTTGACTTGAGGCCGACTTGGGAGTGGCTTTTGGACTAGAGGAAAAATGAGAAAGAAATCTATGAAGAACACAGTAAAACAGCCGGGCTTATTACAAGTTTTAAGGTAAAATCCTCTTCCTTATCCTTCCTACAGACTACAAGTTGAAGAACGGAAGCAAAGCATAGGCACCCGTGTTGGATTTTACATACTGAACAGAAGGCTGTGGAAGTTCTGGAGCTGAGAATGTGAAGGTGTACGTACACTTTGTCAGTGCCTTGCTCACAGTGACCGACTCAGCATCTTTCCTAGAGGACACTACAGAAACCACAAAGTGCAGCACGTGAGGAAATAGCCCCGGCTGTAAGAAGGCAAAGGGGAAAAGGCGGGGGAATGAAAGAAAGAAAAGATGTAAAAGAAAGATGAGGAGCGGAAGGGCACAAATGCTCTATAAAATGGAAAAAGACTTTCACTTAGGTCATGATCTCGCGGTTCGTGGGTTCGAGCCCCGCGTCGGGCTCTGTGCTGACTGCCAGCTCAGAGCCTGGAGCCTGTTTCAGTCTGTGACTCCCTCTCTCTCTGACCCTCCCCTGCTCACGCTGTCTCTCTCTCTCTCTCTCTCTCTCCTGGAAATAAATAAAACATTAAAAAATAATAAATAAAAAAAATAAAATGGAAAAAGACAAAATAGGAGCAGAATGAGAAAAAAAAGTAGATTGGCAGATTTCCAAGTGCATTTCTAGAGGGCAGAGTTTACTGTCTGCTAATTTAAATACATTTTCATTACACTGAAACAAAACTCTCACAAACATTTTTTAGAGAAGGCTTATTGTTTTCCAGTTGGTTCATGATTATCTAACCTTATTTGGAATTAGGAAAGGTAAAACAAGCATTAATCTATGCACAAGAATACTTTTGTATGGAATACCAATAGAATTTTTCCCCTAATGAGAAAAAAGCAAAAGTCAACCTTATGTTTAGCATTCAGATAGTGAATATATTTACCTCTAAGCGTACCATGAATCAAAGTTAACTCTAAACCAATTACCACAATATAGCTAGAAAAATGTCTAATTTGGTAGTCCTCAAACTGCTGGATCTCAGGATCCTTCACATTCTTAGAAATTATTGAGGCTCCCAAAGAACCTTTGTCTATTGGGTTATATGCATAGGTATTCACTGTATTAGAAATTGGAACTGAAAAATTTTTTTAAATATGTATTTATCAATTCATTTTAAAGTAGCAATGAAAAACCCATTATGTGTTAAATAAATAAAATATATTTATGTATTCAAAGTCTATCCCTGATTACAGAAAAATTAGTCAGAAAATTGCATGTCTTTATATTTTTGCAAATCTCTAATGTTTGGTTTAAACAGAAGACAACTAGATCCTCATATTTGCCTCTGCATTTAATCTACTTTGATACGAATATATTTTTGGTTAAAGTAAATAAAGAAACTTCAGCCTCACTCAGATATGTAGTTCAAAAAGGAAAGAACATTTGTAATAATCTTTTCAGATAATTGTGAGTATTCTTCTCTGATAATACACAAAAACTTGACAATTACAGTTTCTTAAAGGTTGGTTACAATGAGAATCTGAAATCGTATAACGAACTGCTATGTAAAAAATTTGCTGGTCTGTCTTGCACTTTTTTAAATTTTTTTAATGTTTATTTATTTTTGATAGAGAGAGTGCAAATGGGGGAGGGGCAGAGAGAGAGGGAGACACAGAATCTGAAGCAGGCTCCAGGCTCTAAGCTGACAGCACAGAGTCCAACCTGGGCTTGAACCCACGAACCGCGAGATTATGACCTGAGCTGAAGGTGGATGCTTAACCGACTGAGCCACCCAGATGCCCCTATCTTGCACTTTGAATAGATATTTCACCCACACATAATTTTGTAGCATCATGCATTGTTCATTTGGAAAACAGTGATTCCATGAATTACATAGGTTTCCCAAATATTGACATATTTCCTTACATAATATGAAAAAAAATCACATTTGTTAATCACCAACCTCAGTAGAAAATCTTCAAATGTTGATATGCTATGAAGCTCACAGTAACAGATACACATTTTCCAAAATTCCAATTTTCACTTGAAAGCTTGAATTCTATCATGGGCAACAAACACTGTCAAGTCGCTTTTCATGAAGTGACAGGCTCACTTCATTCATTTTTGTGAACATGTCTGCCAGTCACACAAATCTGAATATAACCACAGTTCATCACTCATTCTTTGGAGTTAAAATGGTGTTTCATGGGGGGGGGGGGGTGGCTAGTTTGGCTCACAATTCAATCATACAAGTGCATTTCTTCAAAACAGCCACTGAAAGTTTGTATGCAGCAGAGTGCTTTTATCATACTAAAAAAAGGTATATTCAAAGGTTGAAATTTAGCAAACCTAATAATTTTTGCTATCACAACGAGGGCATTTTTAAGTGAAAGTGGCATTTTATTTCCTGCAATGCAAATGCACTGTGGTGAAATTATATAATGACTACTAGGACAGCTTGGTGCTACTGCCTTAATTCCTGCTGAAGCACCAGCTGTTCTGGCCACCACTGCTCTGGCACAATCAGTGCAGATGTCATCCAGTTTAAAAAGAAAAAAAAAAAAGGAAAGATCTTAATATGACTTATGAGGAGAGTTTGGCTTCTCAGATTTCCTTCAAGAACCACCATTCTTAGTCATCTAAGCAGTTGAGTCTATAGTAATTAGACTCTCCCACACTCAAAGAAATGGAGCTAAGAAAGAACAGAGCCAATGAAAAGCAAGTTGTCATTGTCCCTTCCTCCTTCCTCCTGTCTTAGAGGAGACAAAGAGACCAGTGAGGAATAAGCATCCCTTCAATGGACAGTAGCCAGAATGGGGAGGGAATTTGATCATAAATCTCCAGTGTTCATCTTGCACTTATTTACATAGTGTTTTGAAATCTATCTAGACTCTTATGGGCTGAATTGCTTCCCCCCAATTCATATGTTGAAGTCCTAAGTCTCAGTGCCTCAGAATGTGACTGTATTTGGAGATAGGGCCATTAAAGAGGTAAATTAGATAAAAAGAGGTTGAGTGGGTGGGCCCTAATCCAATATGATTGGTGTACTTTTAAGAATATGAGATTAAGACACAGACAACATGCATCAACAGAGGAAACCATGCAAAGACAAGGAAGATGGCCATCTACAAGCCAAGGAAAGAGATCTTACCAGAAACCAGCCCTTGCTAACACCCTGATCTTGAACTCCTAGCCTCCAGGACTGTGAGAAAATAAATTTGTGTTCTTTAAGCCACTCTGTTTATGGTATTTTATTACAGCAGCCCAATAAACTAATATTACATAGACCCTGACGAATCCACTTCAAAGAAGTCAAGAATCTAACATGTGGAGGTTGAGCAAAACCAAATCTGGAATAAAAAGAAGCCATTAACATCACATTCATTGTCAACCACATACATCCTGAGGCAGAATGTCTGCATCAGTGGTTCCCAAACTTCAGAGTTCATAAAGATCATTTGGGGGGCTGTTAACTGCAATTTGCCAAACCCCAACTCCAGAAAGTCTAAATCAGAAATTCTGGGTGGTCCCCAGGAATGTGCATGTTAATGAGCACCCCAGGGAATTCAAGAAGATATATGGTACACAAACTACAATTTGAGGAAGACTTGCCTGCCAAGGACAGCAGTAACTTGGGATGAGAAGTAAGAAAATACAGAAACTGGCACAAATTCCCTCTCACTTTCTCTTTGAAGAATCCAAATACATGAATCTCTTTTTCTTTTCCCTTTTAAACGCCTGGTGCTAAAATTCTTAACTTGGTTGAACCAGTGTGTGGGCAAGGATAATTGAAACAGGCTGAATGTTGGTAAATTACTCTCAAACAAGTCCAAAAGTAGCTTTGCAACAGTTCTTCAAAACCTTTCCAATTTAAAAACATAAGCAAACAAATCCTGAGTTTGTTTATATATTTAGAAATTTAGAAATTGGGTTTCTATATCATATGAAATGCAATTCACATCCATGGATTCAGACTTTGTACTCAACTCAGCCATGAGAATAAACCTGAGGTAAAGGACAAGACTTCCATTTATAAAGGGGATTAAAATATGTGATGGTTAATTTTATGTGTCAATTTGACAGGGTTAAGGGATGTCCAGATAGCTGGTAAAATATTATTTCTGGGTCTATCCGTGTGGGTGTTTCTGGAAGAGATTAGCATTTCATTCAGTTGACTGAGTAAAGAGATCCACCCTCACCAGTGGATCTTCCAATCCCTTGGGCACCCAATGGAGCACAAAGGAGAAGGAAGGACAAATTATCTCTCTCTTTTCTTCTGTTGGGATGTCCATCTTTTCCTGTCTTCAGACACAGACCTCTGGACTCCAGAACTTATACCACTGACGCCCCAGTTCTTAGGTCTTCAGACTCTAACTGAATTATATCACCAACTTTTTTGGTTTCCCAGCTTGCAGATAACAGACTGTGGGACTTTTTGACCTCCAAAAACTGCATGAGACAAGTCCTTTAATAAATCTCTGTCTCTCTCTCTGTGTCTCTGTCTGTCTGTCTCTCTCTCTCTCTCTCTATGTGTGTGTGTGTGTGTGTGTGTGTGTGTGTGTGTGTGTGTGTGTGTGTGTATCCTACTAATTCTATTTCTCTGGAGAACCTTGACTATACAAAAGCCAATCCAATTCCAGGGAAATAACATTTTCATTTGACATTAACTGAGTTCTTGGGTCTCTCCTGATAAATGTCTTATCTAGACAGAATGGAGGTTGGGACTTGTAAAAGTTCACCTGCATTGTACATATCATACTATACATTCAGTCCCCCATTTACAAACCTTCTAAAAATTTCTTTCATTAGTTAAGTATTAAGGATTTAGAGCTTATTTTCCCCATAGAAATAATTCTATAGGCTACAACACAAAGGCCTATTTAATGTTGGATGTAACTTAGATGCTATACAATTTCAATAAAAAATAGTATACTATTTTGTAACAGGTATACAAAGCAGAAAAATGATAAAGTCAATTAAGAAACCATTTTGTTTT